CCACATGAGCACCTGGGTGTGTCTGATATATGCCGATTATATATGTCTGCGTTTAGATCACTACAGCCGAGCTTGAGGCGACAATGAATGATTTGACAAAATCTAGTTCCAAAATTCAAATCAAAGTAATTGTGAGTTTCTGTTGTGTTTATCATGGTTTTAAATTGATTCAGGGAAATAGCGTTAACAGCCCCATCAGGCAATGATTCCACGTCATAATCGCGCTCGGCAAAAATGATTGAGAATATCTTTGCGTTCTACAATTAATAGTTTGAATAGAAGTACTATTTGTAAGATTATAGTTGCTTTGTTCGAGTACTCTACCTGGTACAAGATCATTCAGATAATCAGGAGTCGATGATACATTTTATAGAAAGTTATGAGTTTAGAGCGATGTCGTCTTTCTTTCAGTATGCTATAATTAGTTTCCCTGTATATTTCATCGTGACCTGTGCCAGGCGTCTAGATGTAAATTTTCCAGTAAAATCGCCTGTTCAATCGTACAATTATCCCATATGACAGCAGTAATAAAAAAGTGGTAGGATAAAGGAGTTCTATAAAGTATTAAGCGTTTTCTCAGACAATTGATCATTGGACTAATTTTCTTTATCATGTCACCTATATGAACTTTCCAAGAACAATCGCTTTGAAGTGTTATACCTAAGTGTTGATGGTTATCCACTTCTTTAATAATTTCACCATTCATATATATTCTGATATATTTAAATCATGTCATGAATAGCTTCAGCCGGCTATCTATATCTGTGGCACGTTCTGATTTCGCCTACATCCCAATTCGCCTATAGTCTTAAAACAACCTTTCATTGTCTGTTGACTGCTGATTACGCAATGGTAAACTAGTGGCACCCATATGATCTAAAAGTGGTCTATTCTAGTTGGAGTAGTTGAAGGACAAAAAGAATTTATTTCTGTTTTTTTGTGTTATTTATTTATTCTGTTATTTGTCATTTTCCGATCACAATGATATTCACATCATATCACATTAGTGTTAAGGAAGTTAACTTGTGCAGATGTCCATTTAAGAGATAAATATATTGTGTTGGAAAATTAGAGGTTTATAACGAGATTATAATAGCTCTAAATTTGAATTAAAAACGAACGCGTAGCGTGAGGTTTCAAATACAAAATTTAGAGCTATTATAATTTTATCTCCATTCTACCATAGCCGTGTTATTAAGACTAAAAAATAATACATACTGTATTGGAAAATCAGAGGTATATCACGTGATTACATACCTCTGAATGACCTTGATTAACCAATCACAATCCAGTATTTACTTCAACTTGGTAAGGTGACCAGCCGCGTCGAGGAACTAAAGGGGTGATCTTCAGAACACAGGTATTATGTTACCTACGAATACATAAAAATACCAAAATAGTTCAAGCGTTTTGAACATTTGTGATATGCTTTCTTTGAATAAAAATGTCAGTTGAAACATAATTTGGTAAATAAAATGTAATGATTTTAGTTCAATTTCTATTTCCATCTGTGAAAATGACATTGCAACTTTCCGACATACACCGAGACAAAACAAAGAGAAAGCATTAAACTGGTTGTACAGTCTTTATTTACATGTCCTATGCATTTAGATAAACAATTTCCAAACTGTTCGATTTTTGTTTTGTCTTCAACCCAAAATTTAGTTTTTGATGCATTTTCAAATTTATTTGTACTTACCGAAAGTTCCACCTGTTGTCTCCCAGATGAATGAGATAGATGTGTAACAATGATTTGTTTGTGAAAAAGAACACTAAGTGTATCTCACGTACACCAAACAAACGTACCAAAATGGTTCTATTACTTGAGGTTATAAAACATGAAAGAAACGATGATATGGGTTCACATATTGTGCATACAGAGCAACAGTGAACTTGGATGTTAGGCAACATACAATCCATCTAATCACAGGATATACAAGGTATGATGTTTTGGGGTGGGGTTGGGGGGTCACTTTTGTATTCACATGGTATGATGTTGGTATTTGTAGGCAATTCAGAAAACCCATACACAGCATACCACGAGTGGAAGTATATATAATTATATATGATTATATATATATATATATTTAAACAAATGTTTCAAGTTAGCTTTTCCAATTTTGTAAGTGATTACATGCCCATCTGTGAAAAAAGTGATGAAGAAACGGTAGAGCAAAAAATAACACGGAAGGCGGAAGGCCTCTGACAGGTAATTAAGGGCAACAATGGAGTGTGCTAATTGAATCACAACACCCAGCTGATTGCAATTAGACAAGGGGCAATTAAGCAAGCTAGATACAGGTGTAATTAACAGGTGTATTAATTTCATTAGCCCTAGCAGAGATAGAATGAACACTGGGCTTCATTTTAAGCAACGCGTTTGCTTCAAATACAACGCTTTGAGACTCTATAAAGAGGTATTTAGGTAGATATAATACCAATCTATGGATTTAAACACAAATCAGGAAACATGTGTGGGGTTTAAGTTGTGTTTGAGAGCCCGGGCCAAGGCGGAACGAAAGCTTGTGATATACTGTCTTTGTTGAGAATATGTAGAAAAGATAGCTTCACTTTCAGCAACGTTTTTGCTTCAAATACTACGCTTTGAGACTCTGTGAAGTGATATGTAGGTAGATATAATACTAATCTATGGATATAAACACATTTCAAGATACCAGTGTGAGGTTTAAGTTGTTTTTGACAGCACGGGCCAAGTCGGGCTGAACAGACACTAAACACTTTTGATTTAAGCTATGTTGAGAATTGAGAGAGAAAAGGGCTTCACTTAACGAACCAGTTCTCTTTACATGTGGCATTTTGTAACATCACACATTGATATTTAGGTAGATATAATACTATTCTATGGATTTAAACACAAATCAGGATACATGTGTGAGGTTTAAGTTGTTTTTGAGAGCCCGGGCCAAGGCGGACCGAACGCTTGTGATACACTGTCTTTGTTGAGAATATATAGAAAAAATATAGCTTCACTTTCAGCAACGTTTTTGCTTCAAATACTACGCTTTGAGATTCTGCGAAGTGATATGTAGGTAGATATAATACTAATCTATGGATATATACACACATTTAAAGATACACGTGTGAGGTTTAAGTTGTTTTTGACAGCACGGGCCAAGTCGGGCTTAAGTTTGAGAACAAAGGGTTTGCTTCAAATACTATGCTTTGATACTCTGTGATATGTAGGTAGATATAATACTAATCTATAGATATAAACAAATTTCCAAGATACATGTGTGAGGTTTAAGGTGTTTTTGACAGCATGGGCCAAGTCGGGCTGAACAGACACTAAACACTTTTGATTGAGGCTATGTTATGAATGGAGAGAAAAGGGCTTTACTTTAACGAACCAGTTATCTTTACATGTGGCATTTTGTAACATCACACATTGATATTTAGGTAGATATGATACTAATCTATGGATATAATTACAAATCAGAATACATGTGTGAGGTTTACGTTGTTTTTGACAGCACGGGCCAAGTCGGGCCGAACAGAGACTAAACACTTTTGATTGAGGATTTTGTTTTCCGAGGACTTATTTTCCTAAAATCTTTTGGAATGGAGAGAGAAAAGGGCTTCAAAATCAATTTTACTTTACTTTATGAAGTGGTATTTATGTAGATATAATACCATTTTATGTTTCATGTGTATTAGTAAATGTAAGCATATGCATTCGCGCTGGTATTGTTTACAATGAAAACACATCAGAATTATTTTGTTTGTTAATGCATACCTTGTTTGATCCTTTATAACATATTACAAAAAGGTTGTGACTTAAAAAGATTTCAGACAGACATATTTATTTGTATATGTGGCCCTGAGGCCAATAGTACATGTGTACAATAATAGCAGTGCATTTATGCGCAACCTGTAAATACGCGAGTTATAGGAACATCAATAAATCCATAAACACCCATTCACAATTTACATTTTTCTCTCAACATAAGTATGTGGTACAACACAAGGGCTAGCTTAAACAACAAGTCAATGTTTTCTGTGCGAAGTAGCATACAGAATTTACGTCTCGACGGTTGGTTATAGAAAAAAATAAGGCAAATATGTTTCTCCTATTTCTAAATATTTCGGGCATACAAGTAATACATGGTACTCATCTTCTTGCGATAAATTGCAGAATGGACATTGGATATCTATTGCATTTGAAGTTTTAAGTAAATCGCGCCGCTTGGACTTTGAAGTTGTAAGCGTTACATCTAAATTTAGTAAGCGTACGCTTAACTTGTGGTGAATTAATCTTTGAAAGGTAAATTTCTGTATTAATACAATATTTATATTCTGAATAAAAGTTGACACAGGTTGATGACGTTATTTCATTATACCAGTCCTGTTGATAAATGTCTTTGCATCTCTGCTTGGATAATTTGATGAAATATTGTGTATTACTTACATTTTGGGCGATCCATACATTTCCAAAGCCATGACTAAAAGAATAGCTCTAACGAATGAAACCCAATTAATATCTCCGGTATCATCTAGTGTTTTAAGCATTTCATAACTACATCTTGAATATCGTGAAATTGGTTGTCTCATCAATCTTAGCCAATATGAAATAACCCGACATTGGGCGTTAATAAACAGTGGAAAACGTCCACATTCAGCTAAAATAACCTTGTTCGCAGTTCTGTAGCCAACACGCAACAAAAACTTACAGAACTTTGAATGTACCTTTTCAATATTGTTGTTTATGTTAATGCCCCATATTTCGGAGCCGTACAACAAAATTGGTTGAATTTTTTCCATCAAACAGTTTAAATGATGCATGGATCGGTAATTCTTTATATTTACATATGAATTTCTTTATGACATGTAGGGCTCGTTCAGCTTGCATAGATAATGTTTCACAGGCTCTGGAGAATATATTTCTACACGAAAATATAATACCTAAATATTTGTAATATGACATCACCTCCAATTTTGGCCATTAAGGAACCATTTTTCACTTTTTAGAGATTTTACCCCCATTTTTAAAACCATTACTTTAGTTTTACTAATATTTATCTGAAGACCCCATTTCAAACAATATTCATTTAGAGTATCTATCTTGCATTGTAACTGGACAACAGAATCGGCAAGAATCACGACATCATCTGCAAATAGCATTATTGCAAGATCTCTGATATGTTCGCTAATAAATACACCTCTCGTATCATTTAATAACATTTCCTTAACAAGTTCTTCAACATATAACAGGAAAAGTACAGGTGATAGAATGCAACCTTGCCTCACTCCGGCATATGTATCAAATATATCACTCATTTGAAATTTACTGGTTCTAACAGATGCTCTCACATTGGTGTACATATTACGTAAAAGACGTTGGTGTTTGCCATGTATACCTGACTGTAGTAGTACATATAACAGTTTTGACATATTAACGGAATCAAACGCTTTCTTAAAATCTACGAAAAGACAATAAAACTTCCCCCCTTTCTTCCGCAGATATTTATGGATAATACTGTTGAGAGTAAATATATGGTCCGCAGTGGAATACTCTTCTCGAAATCCCGCTTGGCACTCAGATAAAAGTTCACGAGTGGAAATCCAAGCCATAATGCGATTATCTGATATAGTGGTAAATATTTTGTTTAGTGTATTCAATAATGCAATACCTCTATAATTGTTTGGATCACCCCTTTCACCCGACTTATGCAGAGGTACAATCAATCCTACATTCCAGGAATCTGGAAAAACGCCGCTGTCTAGAACTCGATTAAACAGACTATTCATAAAAGGAAGCAATAAAGAAATACATTCTTTAAAACTTCAACTTGAATACCATCTACCCCGGGTGATTTTCCACATTTCAGACTTTTTACTGCACACAATATCTCGTTATCAGTTATACGATTACCAAGGTATTCATCAGAAGAAGATTTCTTTTAATATACATAATCATGTCATATTTGCCCATTGATTTAAACAGTATTTTATTTCCCGAAAGACATGTGATATACAATAAACATGATTAAGTTACAAAAGGAAAAGGATCAGCGAACAGGCTGCATCAGCCTATGTAAATGCTTCTCCTAAACATAATCTTGCAGAGAATGATTTTATAAGTACATTTGTGCAAATAAGTAATTCAATAATTTCAAACTAAGTAAAGCATATGGTACCACACTTTATGGAAAACGGTTGGTATCATTTAAGAAACTGTAAACCGATTTTATTATTAATTCGTTTTCATACTGGGACAAAGATTCATCGCCGCTTAGACTGACTGACTGAGTTTAGTTTTACGCCGCTTTTAGCAATATTCCAGCAATATCGCGGCGGGGACACCAGAAATGGGCTTAACACATTGTGCCCATGTAGGGAATCGAACCCGGGTCTTCGGCGTGACGAGCCAACGCTTTAACCACTAGGCTACCCCACCGCCCCTCGCCGCTTAGAATAGCATGTAAACTTATATTATTTTGAAAGAAGTATTTATTAAATCTAAACCTATCATATAGAGGGACACTGAAGGAAATAATGGTAAGCATCTTCTCGAGTGTTCCCACAGGAGCAGGTTCGGCTGTCTGACAAATATCTATCAAACAAGTGAGAATTAAGATCACTGCAGCCCAGGCGCAAACGACAGAGAAGAATTTGACCTCGTCTGGGACCATACGATATATAATTCTTAAATGTTGGGGATAATGTCATGTCACAAGATATACATTTCTTAAATTTTGATAATGATTCTACATTTCTAATATTGATGTCAAGCGAATTCCATGCCTTAACAGTAGATGGGAGAAAAGAATTATTAAAGTAAGATACACGCCCTGCATTACATTGGAGATTATCGGAGTTTCGCAAATTATAGAGGCTTTGATTAGAAACATTTGGTGGTACCCATATTGAGAGATATTGTGGTGTTAACCCATTTACCATTTTGTAGAACATACATAATTTATGATAGTGGCGTCTTTCGACTAAAGAACAATATCCTGTTTCAGCATAAAGTTTATCGTGACTTGTGCCTCTCACTGCACCTGAAATAGTCCTAAGGGCATCTAAATGTAGCTTCTCTATCAGATGAGCCTGCTCCTTGGTACAGTTATCCCAGATGGTATCACAGTAGTCAAATATAGGCAAAATATATGATTTATACATAGTTTCAAGTGATATTCTGTTTAGCCTGTGTTTCAAACTTCTCAGACAATTTATTAGTGGACTTGCTTTGGCTAGTATATAATTAATATGATTCTGCCATTTTCCATCATCTTGTATAATCAGACCAAGATGTTTATGTTCACAAACTTCAGAAATCGCAGTATTATTAAGTGATAATTGAAGTTTCGGACTTGCATTAATAGTCTTATTGGAGAATAACATAGCTTCTGTCTTTTCAGGGTTGAAATTAACCTGCCACTTGGAAGCCCAGTCTAAAAATACGTTCAAGGTCATTATTAAGCAATGTCTGTGTCCGAAACGGATCTTCAATTACTAAGTATAGGGAAGTATCATCAGCAAAGAGTTTAACGTTACTTACTATTCCGTTGGTTAAATCATTTATATAGACGAGAAATAATAGTGGCCCCAAGACAGAGCCTTGAGGAACACCAGCCGAGACAAATTTTGGACTCGATTTGTGGCCATTAATCACAACTGACTGTTTTCTATTACTAAGATAATTTTTCAAACCAAAGCAATAGTTTTCCAGTTATTCCTATGGATTCAAGTTTTGATACCATCCCTGCGTGCCAAACACGATCGAAGGCCTTGCTGATATCACAAAAGACAGCTCGGACTTCTTTACCCTCATCTAGAGCCTTTGATAAAACGTGATAAAGTTCAGTTAATTGGTACACTGTGGAGTCCCCAGGTTTAAATCCAGACTGATGTTTCGATATGATATCATTATCCATAAAGAAATTATAAACGTGCTTGAATATACACTTTTCAAATACTTTAGCCAAACAACAAGATAGAGCAACTGGCCTATAATTATTACAATCATGCACACTTCCTTTTTGTGAAGAGGGACAACTGCCGAAAATTTCCAAATGTCGGGAAATTGAGAATGTTTTAGGGATAGATTAAAAAGCTTCGTAACGGGTCTATGGAGAGGCCGAGCTAAAACTTTTAATAATTTATTGCTGATATTATCAGGACCCTTAGCTTTCTTTGTGTCTAAACACAGCAGGATATCATACACTTCATTTTTCCGTTAGAGAAATTATATCTAATTTGTTTTCGCTGTGAGTGGGAGGAGGTGAGTCGATATTAGGTTCGTCAACTTGGGCTTGTTCTGTGAAGTATTCATTAAACGCCCTTTGACACTCGCCAACATCCACTTCTCTTTAACACAAACATCCTGTGCTGATTCAGCATGAGACAATTAAGTTTAATTAGGGAACCCCAATATCTTAATTAAGGAAAGAAAAGCAGTCAAAACACTGTCACTTCCTGCCCAGGACCCCAGGATGTCACACGCTAAGAGAAGTAAGCAACCTTCCCACATTCCCTTCACTTTAACGAACCAGTTATCTTTACATGTGGCATTTTGGAACATCACACATTGATATTTAGGTAGATATAATACCAATCTATGGATTTAAACACAAATCAGAATACATGTGTGGGATTTAAGTTGTTTTTGAGATCCCGGCCAAGGCGTACCGAACGCTTGTGATCTTTGTTGAGAATATGTAGAAAAGATAGCTACACTTTGAGCAAGGTGTTTTGCTTCAAAATACTACGCTTTGAGACTCTGTGAAGTGATATGTAGGTAGATATAATACTAATCTATAGATATAAACACATTTCAAGATGCATATGTGAGGTTTAAGTTGTTTTGACAGCACGGGCCAAGCCGGGCTGAACAGACACTAAACACTTTTGATTGAGGCTATGTTGAAAATAAGAGACAAGGGCTTCACTTTAAAGGTCACATAAACCCTAGGGGGTAAAAATACATAAATCACTAACTGGCATCGTTATAAATGAAACCCCGTCATTAAAACTACTCATTTCGACCTTTAATTGACTTAAATCGACCTTTTTGACAACAGTGCACAATTCTCACCCGCGAACGAAATTTCAACCAATCAGAGCGGCGCGACTCTGTGACGTCATATGAGGAATAGCTTTGAGGGCCGATGCAGAATTCATCTACATTTTAGGGGTTAAATTATCTTGTTTACAGGCTTGTATAAACCTGAAATCGTGACAATTGTTGTGGAAAATGAAAGCTATATGTTCTCACAATCTACTGTCATTTAATTTTGTCTCCTGCTTTGCCTAGTTTCCGAGTTACAACTTGTTTTCATAGACGCTTCTGTCACAATTGATTGGTGTCGTTAGGCCCTATTTGTATAATGACTGATCCAAATTGATCCCATTTCTGTGTTTTTTTGCCTCGATATTTAATCATGTCATTTAAAAATCTGTTTGTATTCTCAAAACAGTGTCGGCCCATAAGTTTTCACATGCAATACAGCAATTAATACTCCCTTGTTGTAACCCGTGTTAGGTGGTATAAACCTACACATGTTATTTGTCATCATTCACTTGATGGTCAGTTAATGAATTTATAACAGGTATAATTAGTGGTAACACACTTAGATTACCCGACAAAGGTTCCCATTTGGCATTTCTTGTGTCTGGAGTAGATATTCAATATTATAAACATCGATCAAAGGATTAACCGATAACACGCTGATTGATTAATTACTTTTATCTTACACAGCGGAATTGTCAAAAGGTAGTGTTTATGTATGTAGATTTACTAATCTATACTGAATACACTCTGCCGTGTCGGTGTCTGCGTAAAAACAACGTCCTTCTTTCAAAGGATTAACCGGCAATACATTGATTGATTGCCCATTATTGGCTAACTAAATTACTGTTTTAAATGAAAGGCGGACATTATGCAATTAGTTGACAGGTGTGCTATCTTGGGTGACCAATGAGACTATACACCAATACCTGAAAAGATTTATCACTTTTTCGTATATTAAACTGTTAAAAGACACATCATTTGGAACAGTTTTGTGGATATTGATGGATACATTCCTCAAACAAGGTACTGGCCTGATATTGTTCCTATAACTTTAATCTGTTTTAATTTTAATATTTGCATTTTGTTTTTTTATTCATTTGTCGTAGCATTCAACAGAATCATTGTTTTCGCCGTGAAGTGTAATGAGACAGACAACATACACTAGGGTGTGTGTGCGAATTATGATTCACATTGGCAAACTATAAAATGTCTAGATATTACAGTTCTGTTATAAATTCACTATAAGTATCAGCAGATCGTCAGCTTTTTATTTAGTTTCAAAATGCATAAAAGTATGATAATAAACTAATTAGGATTATAAGACCAAATATAAAGACGCACATTGACTAGTATCTACATACTGGTGAGTGGACATTAACCATGTGAATGTAGCAAGAAATTTATCGCGCAGTATTGTGACTTCGACCCCCACCTCGCTTCCGTGGAACAAATCGTTATGTTATAAGTTGTGTCATGCAAAATCCTTTTGGTTATAATTCCAATACATATTTAACTACGAGTAGAAAGTAGTTTTGATTTTCTAACTTGATGAAAACAAACTATAATCTCATGAATTCTAACAGACTTTTACGATTTTCAAAATGGCGGCGCCACTGTCAAGGACGCCAGTCTGTGGATAAATGCTATTCAGGTTTGTTTTCACCGAGTTACAAAATCAAAACTACACTCTACTGGTAGTAAAATATGTATTTGATTGATGGCCAATAGGATTTTGCATGACATAGCGTATAACATAACAATT